AATTATGAGTTAGCTAAGTCATAATTATGAGATACAAGTTTTATTTTTTTTATCAGGGTGGCAGAAATGGGCTTCCATACTCTTCTGTACAATTTGTCTCTAGTTGTTGAGTTTTTTGTTTCTGTAGGTTAAGTTCTAACACGCAGTATAAAAGCTTATTTACTGTAGCTGGTATTTACAAGGTTGCAGTAAAGCAGCACAAGAATGTTCAAAATCAAATTACACAATTTGTTTAAACGTGTTTTGTAAAAGATGAAAAGAGTTTGGTTTTGCCAGGCATGGGACAGCTGATGTTATCATCTCTTTAGGAGAAGAAAACAATGAAATAAGTCGCCTTTATGTCTGATACTTGTGAGCAAGTCTACTTAAGGGAAACAAAAAAAAAGTGAAAGGTCAGCAGTGGTTTTCTCTGCCTGCTTCCTGTTTCTTGAGGTGCCTGAGGGGAGGGCCAGTATGTCCCACTGGTTTAACCAGCTGTCCTTCCTGTTCACTGCAGTCTGGTTGACAACTATTGAAATTCCAGCACCGTGTTGTCAGTGCATCATGTGATCATCATGTCTTTGTAAATACCAGAGCACCAGCACCTGCGTTACAACCCACTGCGAGACAGCTGGGTCCTGGTGTCGGCCCACCGCATGAAGAGACCCTGGGCTGGTCAGGTGGAAAAACCTCCTGAGGAGCACATACCTAGATATGATCCTCGCAACCCTCTCTGTCCTGGGAACACGAGAGCCAATGGAGAGGTAAGAAGAGGTACACTGAAAAGATTTAAATCATAAATGGTCAGATTTTAAAAGCATTGCTATCCAAATATTGTTTTCAGTTATGCTTTTTTAGTTTTGTTTTTATTTAATGTGCTTTTTGAGACATGATGCTATGTTTTTTTTCTTTGCTTGAAGATATCTAAGAAACATAGCACGATTTTGCAAACAACGTTAAAGATGTTTCTGTGTTTGCTGCAGCTACTAATTTTCACGACACATCTGATTTTTAGCTTTGGGCTAGCTCAGTTTAGTTACCTTTGTTGCTGTTTATTGTTTTTCAGGTTAATCCAAACTATGATAGTACTTTTGTGTTTGGTAACGACTTTCCTGCTCTTGAGCCAGATGCTCCAGATCCTAGTAAGTTCAAGCCTTGCCAAAAAAAAAAGCATTTGCATAACTTAACATGGGATATTATTAATTTATTCTTGTGTTTATTCGTTGTACGTCTGTTGTGGTTTTCAGGTTTGGATCAGCATCCATTATTTCAGTCAAAACCTGCCAGGGGTGTCTGGTAAGAGAACAACCTGATACTAAAATCTGAGTTATGCAGTGAAAAAACACTTACTGAAAAAGAAAAAAAAATTGTATAGGTCTTCTGGATGGGTTCTTCTCTAATGAAACTTTTCGTCTCTCCTCCAAGAG